TGTTTTTTTTAAGATTTCTTTGAGAGAGTGTGTGTGCAAAGGGGCAGAGGGAGAGGAAGAAGGAGAGAAGCAGACGCAGGGCTCACTTCCCACGACCGATGAGATCATGACCTGAGCTGAAATCAAGAGTCCGACACTTAACCGAGCCACCCAGGTGCCCCTCACAAAAGCAGTTCTAAGAGGGAGTTTATAGTAGTATAGGCCTACATCAAGAAACAACAAAAGAATCTCAAATAAACATTATGATCCTTTACCTAAAAGAAACAGAAAAAGAACAACAAACAAAGCCCACAGTTACTAGAAGGAGGAAATAAAGTTCCAGGTGGAAATAAATGAAATAGAGACTAAACAACAGAAAAGATCAATGAAACCAACATAAACAAAACTGATATACCTTTAGCCAACCTCATCAAGAAAAAAAGACAGAAAAGACCCAAATGAATACAATCAGAAATGCAAGAGGAGAAGAACTGAAGAAGAACCACAGAAATACCAAGGATTATAATAGACTGCTACGAAAAATTATATGCCAACAAATTGGACAACCTAGAATAAATGGATAAATTCCCAGAAACATACAATCTTCCAAGACTGAATCAGGAAGAAATAGATAATCTGAACAGACTGATGATTGCTAGCAACAAAACTGAATCAAAAATCAAAAGACTCCCAATAAACAGAAGGCCAGGACCAGTGGGCTTCACCAATGAATTCTACCAAACATTTAAAGAAGAGTTAATACCTATCCTTCTCAAACTATTCCAAAAAATAGAAGAGGAAAAAAACCTTCCAAATTCATTTTAAGAGGCCAGCATTACTCTGATACCAAAACCAGACAAAACATTCTAAAAAAATATTAGAGGTCAATATTCTGGATGAACATAAATGCAAAAATCCTCAACAATCACCAGTTGAACTCAACAATACATTAAAAGGATCATACATCATGGTCAAGTTAGATTTATTCCAGGGATGCAAGGATGGTTCAATATTACCAAATCAATCAACATGATACACCCTATTAACAAAATGAAGGATAAAAACCATTTGATAGATGCAGAACAAAAGCATTTGACAAAATACAATACCAGTTTATGATAAAAAACTCTCAACAAAGTGGGGTTAGAGAAAATATACATCAACATAATAAGGCCACATATGAAAAACCCACAGCTAATATAATACTGAATGGTGGAAAACAATACCCTTGCCACTTTTATTCAGCACAGTATTGTAAGTTGTAGCCACGGTAATTAGACAAGAAAAAGAAATAAAAGGCATACAAACTGGCAGGGAAAGGTAAAACTGTCACTCACTGTTTGCAAATGACATAGTATACACAATAAACCCAAAAGTTCCACCAAAAACTACTGGAACTAATAAATGAATTTGGTAAAGTTGCAGGATACAAAATTAATATACAGAAATCTGTTGTATTTCTATACACCAATAAGGAAGCAGCAGAAAGAGAAATTAAGAAAACAATCCCATAGGGGCACCTGGGTGGCTCAGTTGTTAAGTATTTGCCTTTGGCTCAGGTCATGATCCCAGGATCCTGGGATCGAGCCTTGCATCGGGCTCCCTGCTCAGTGGGAAGCCTGCTTCTCCCTCACCCACTCCCCCTGCTTGTATTCCCTCTCTTGCTCTGTCTCTGTCAAATAAATAAAATCTTAAAAAAAAAAAAAAGAAAAAAGAAAATAATCCCATTTACAGCTGCATCAAAAAGAAAAAATGCCTAGGAATAACCTTAACCAAGGAGGTGAAAGACCTGTACTCTGAAAATTGTAAGGCACTGATGAAAGAAAGTGAAGACAACACAAACAAATGGAAAGATATACTATGCTCACGGATTAGGAGAATATTGTTAAAATGTCTACATTACCCAAAGCAACCTACAGATTTAATGCAATTCCCATGAAAATACCAATATTTTCCACTGAAATAGAACAAATAATCCTAAAATTTGTATGGAACCACAAAAGACTCCAAATAGCCAAAGTAATCTTGAGAAAAACAAAGCTGAAGGTATCACAATTCCAGATCTGAAAATATAGTACAAAGCTATAGTAATCAGAATAGTATTGTACTGGTACAAAAATAGACACATAGATCAATGAAACAGAATAGAGAGCCCAGAAATAAATCCATGCTTATATGCTCATTCATCTATGACAAAGGAGGCAAGAAAATACAATAGGAAAAGAGTCTCTTCAATAAATGCTGCTGGGAAAACTGGACAGCTACATGCAAAAGAATTAAACTGAACCACTTTCTTACACCATATACAAAAATAAACTCAAAATGGATTAAAGACCTAAGTGTAAGACCCAAATCCATAAAACTCCAATAAGAAGACTCAGTAATCTCTTGGACATCGGCTGTAGCAACATTTTTCTGGATATGCCTCCTCAGGCAAGGGAAACAAGAGAAAAATAAACTACTGGTACTACATTAACCTAAAAAGCTTTTACACAGTGAAGGAAACCATCAACAAAATGAAAAGGCAACCTACTGAATGGGAGGAGCTATTTCCAGATCATATATCTGATAGGAGATTAATATCCAAAATATATAAAGATTTCATACAACTCAACACTAAAATACACTAATAATCCAATTTAAAAATGGGCAGAGGACCTGAATAGATATTTCTCTGAAGAAGACATATAGATGGCAAACAGAAAAGATGTTCAGTATCACTAATCATCAGGAAAATGCAAACCAAAACAACAGTGAGATATCACCTCATACCAGCCAGAATGGCTAGTATCAAAAAAAACAAGAAATATCAAGTGTTGGTGAGAATGTAAAGAAAAGGGAATGTAAATTGGTGCAGCCACTATGGAAAACAGTATGGAGATTCCTCAAAAAATCAAAATTCTTAGAAGTACTGTATAAGCCAATAATTCCAGTACTAGGAATTTATTCCAAGAAAACAAAAACACTATTTTGAAAAGATATAGGCACCCCTATGTGTATTGCAGCATTATTTACAGGAGGAAGATATGGAAGCAATCTAAGTGTCCATCATTAGATGAACAATAGACAAGAAGGTGTTGAAGTGAATATTACTCAGACATAAGGGATGAGATCTTGCCATTTGTGACAATATAGATAAATCTAGAGAGTATTATGCTAAGTGAAATAAGTCAGACAGAAAAAGACAAATAGCATGATTCACTTATATGCAGAATCTAAAAACCAAAACAGATGAACAAAACACAACAAAACAAAAACTCATAAATACAGAGAATAAACTGGTGGTTGCCAGAGGGGATGGAGTGAGAAGGATGGATGAAATAGGTGAAGGGGATTAAGAGGTACAAACTTTCAATTACAGAATGAATAAGTCACTGAGATAAAAAGTACAGCATAGGGAATATAGTCAGTAATATTGTATTAACTTTGTATGGTGACAGATGGTAATTACACCAATCGTGGTGAGCACTGCATGATGTACATAACTGTGAAATCACTATATTACACACTTGAAAACAATGTAACATTGTATGTCAACTATACTTCAGTAAAAAAGTAAAATTAAATTTAAAAATTTTTAAAGTTCATGTTTACCTCAGCTGAGAAATCCTTTGGGAATCTATCCCAAAAAATAAATGCATCAGTACATAAAGATAACTTACTTAGACAAGGCTTCAGTTGAGGAAACCAAGGTTTCCACTGTATTTGAAGCTGATTTTTGTAGGAATCATTTCATCTTATTGGTCAACGTTAAAACAGTTTTTGAGGAGAAAATGGAAAGATTAACACAAAGGGAATGCATAATCAAAAATGCATTCTCAACCCAGATAACCCAGATAAAAGCCTGTTAAGTTTTTAAAAGTGAAGGAGTCACATAAAATGTACAGGCTAGATAATTATTACCCCAAATATCTGAATAAGCTTAAGGTTGTTCAATAAAAATACCAGTTAGTGTGGTTAAACAGAAAGAACTGTTAGAAAGCCCCACACTATTTCCCATTCTATTTCTAACAAATCCACACTTCTTTTAAGCCATCACCTCTTCCTAAAAGTCATAGCACAAAGACCACTTACTTAAATCTCTTCGCACGAGTAAAGCTAGAAACGCAGAGTTTCACAATACTTACTGGAGAATTGTATTGTGGAGAAAAAAAAAGAATAATAATAGGTAAAATAGAATAAATGGTGGTATACTCATAGAGTATATTAGGTATATATTATATACTCATATGAGTATATTAGGCCATTAGGCCATATTAAAAATATTAGAAAGAATAACTACATATATTCATTTTGACTTGAAAGGATTTCCATAATTTAATGTTCTCTGAGGATAGGTAAATGCAGAAGAGTGTAGAGAATATGATCCGATTTTAGTAAATAACAATGAGAAAAAAATACCAAATTGTTAATACTGGTATCTTGAAAAGAGGGTAGGGCTGGCAGTTAAGAGTTTAAAAACAGAAAAGATCTGTTTTAGAAGAATTCTCAGAATAAATATGTAAGAAATGCTCTGTAATCATACATATATATACATGATTGAAAAGATGGTAACCAAAATAATTCTAATGACTGTTGAAATACATGGATTTTTACTTCCTTCTTTCTTCTTTTCCTGTCTTCATTTTTTGCCATTGACACATATTACTTGTGCAATCAGAAGAACATTTTTATTTTGGGGGAAATAAAGGTCAGAGACCTGGAAAACACTGCAAAAAGCTTTGAAATTTAAAAAATACATGGTGCTATAGGTAGATATGAATTCTGAATAATTACTATATTTTAAAACTCAAAAACAAAGGAGAGTAATATATTCATTAATGTAGAGAGCTATTGAATCATTATATTGTACACCTGAAACTAATATGACACTGTATGTTGTTTCAATTAAAAAAATTAAAAATTTTAAATAAGAGATAATTACATAGAATAAGCAACATTTTCTGCCAAGACCAAAGAACAAAAAAAAATCTTATGTAAACAGACCCTAAAGCACAGATATCATAGACACACACATATACCTGGATGGTTCAGCAGAGTATCAAGTTCTTCTTTGGCCACAACCATTCTCAATCTATCACTACTATCAATGACAAAAATAATGGCTTGTCCTTCTCTGTATAAGGAATGAGAAAAATTAAAGATAAAATTATACATTTTCCCATGTTTAGCATTCATTTGCATTTCCTAACCTGTGTATTATCTTTTAATTACATATTAGTTTATATGAGTGATTACTATATTACCATTAGTCCTATTTCATGTAAAATAATTTCTTCTCAGTTGGTTGATAACATGGTAAATTTAATGACTTATTTCATAATTTTTAAAAATTACAAGTAAAACCATAATCCTATTACACAGATGCAATCATTATTAATATTTTGGGGTAAATCAATTTTGACATTTTCTTTGTGTATATTCACATACGAATACCTACATTTGTATTTAAAAGGAATCTTTCTGTTTTATACCCTGCCTTTCTGATATATATATATTTCCTTGATCTTTTTTGCAGTATAGTTTGAACTACTTTTATATAAAACATTAAAGCTCTACACCAGTGTTTCTCAAATATTTCTTACCATAACCATAGTGAGAAATACATTTTATATTAAGATATAGTAGACCCTTAAGTATATGTAACTATATTTGAAATAAGTTTCCAGAAATAACACTTACAAATAGCTTTTATTTTATTCTATTTGATTTTTTTTAAGCTGATAACGGGCCACTAACCTGGCTTAAGGATTCACTTACAGACCACAGTGGCACTTAAAAAAAAAAAATCACTGATTCCCTCTGCACCTTTCTTTTAATGATTATAAAGTATTCCATTGCACAGATATGTCATCGATAATACTGTGGACTTAGAGATTATTTTTATTATTGTGAAAAACTTTGGAATAAACATCCTCCTGAGTACATTTTTTAAATTTCTTGATATCTTAAGACTTGTAATTAGGAATAAAATTTCTAGAAACACATACAAATTTTAAAGTTTTAGATAAACATTGACAAACTGTATTCCAGAAATACTTTATCAATTTATACTACTACCAGTATTTTTCCCACCTTTCCAGCATGGCTCTTAACATTCTTTTCCATTTTTGCCATTCTAACAGCATAGTATTTTACACTGTATTTCATTAATTGCTAGTAAAGTTCAATATGTTCACATATATTTATTGGACATTTTACCTTTTTTTGTGAATCACTTATTCGAGTCATAAATTAAGATTTTAAAAGTTCAATATCATTAAAAAAAATTCAATATCATTAGCAATCACATGAACATAAAACAACTTTTGAGTACCATTTTCTCCTATCATTTAAAAAAATGAACATAGGTTATCACTAGTCATACATTACTAGTAGCCATGGAAACTAATAAGATTGGAAATATCTACCAACAGTTTTAAAAATGTTAAATCTCTTTGAGCCAGTAATTTTACTTCTGGAATTTATTCTAAGGAAACATGATTTATGACAAAGACTTATGCAGCAAGATGTGCTCACTGAAGGATTGTTTATAATCTTCAAAAACTGAGAATAGCTTTTATGCCCAAAAATAGAATGATTACAAAAGAGGCATAGGCATGTGAAAAAAAAATAAACAGCCAGTCATTAGTTATATTCTTTGGATGTTTTTCCTGATTTATTCTTATCACTGAATATTAACTGAAAAAGCAGGATAAAAAACTATATATGGTACATAATTTAGAAGACTCCTTTCTCAACTATGTATATATTTTATATTTCAAGAAAGAAGAAAAACAAAAAAGATTAACAATGGTAAATTTATTAGTAGTGAGATTTACAGAAAAAAATTTTTATAATCTTTTCTATATTTTCCAAATATTAAAAAATGTGTACTCCTTATATTTTATACTTTATTACTTCCGTATTATAAAGATAATAGGCAATAATTATACAATAATCAATGTTACAGAATCAAATGACAAAGTAAACTTCCCTTATAATCTTATTGTTCCAAAAACAAATGCTATTAATGGTTTGGTGCACATGCCACTAAATTTTTTTCCTTCTCTATATATACTAAGCACATATTTTTGTTAAGAGTAGTATTTTTCTTTTTATAATTGAGATGTCATTATAAACAGTGTTCAACACATGTTCTTCTATGTATAACTTTGTCCACTAGTGTTAGTCATAGAATACTTTTCAAGAAAAAAAATGATGGCTAGAGAGCATGAACACTTTTCATTTTAAAAGATATTGATAAATTTCCCTGAAAAAGATGTTACATTCCCAACATAAGAGTGACTTATTTTGCCATAGTAGACTTAATCTTTTTAACCTCTTTCAGTCTAATAGATTAAAATGTACTTGTTCTTTCATAATTAGAAAAATATAGATGCAGGATATAAATTTACTATTATTGTAGACTTCTCCACAGTAACCATATTCACTATTCAACCTACAATTTAGTTATAGTGTTCCTAATTAACTTCTTCTAAAAAGATTTTGAAGAAAAAGGAATTAAAATCAGAAACGTTTCCTTTTATAGAAACTATTTTCTATGTATTTTTGTTATCTGTAATTAAAATAAATGTTATTTTTAAATAGTAGCTAAAATAAATACATTTTAAAAATTCTTTTTTTGGAGGAAGAAAAAATCCTATACTGAAAACTCAGGTTTCCTAAAAAAAAAACCACCAAAAAACAACTCACGTTTCCCCAGAGAATTTAATGCAAGCTACCACAAACATGCCACTTTTCCTTTACCAAACTGACTCTGAAATCTAAAGAACAAAATCTTTTCTCTGTACCTCAGCAGTTCTCTGGATCTGTAAGATTTAAATATGACTTCAATCTATTAAAGCACTCATTGAAAAGAGTATCTGAAAAAAAATCTCCTTTGGCTCATATCTGAGGAATACAATGTTTGTTCCCACATTAGCAGGAAAGAATAAAAATTAAAATCTGATCTGGGCAGTCATCTCATAATCATTCCAAGGCAAGAGTTCCTAATGACAAAAGGGCATTTAGTCAAGGGATACTGGTTATAAGTTTCAGACTCCAAAAGTAAGTTACATTGCTTTTACAGGAAGGAGTCCTAGCAATATGAACAGTTAATGAATTCATTTTACTACCACATGCAAATCCTGAGATGGCATAATAATTTGGGTTCTAGTAACTTGACAGTTCTTAATCTGAAGTAATTAGTGAGCACTTTATTTGCATATGCTGAAAAACATCTTGTTTAGAATTGCTTGTAGAACAAATGGATCAACTGTTTAAATTAGTACTATTATTTTAACTAAATTTATTCAATAATATTTACTGATCTATATCTCTAGCATCATACTTGGCCTTGAAGAAATAACCCGAATAAGAAATAATCCTTGCTCTTGAGCAGTTCATACCCTCATTAGAGAGGCAGCTATGGCACATGACTTTAAGACATAACAAGTATGGTAAAGTACTGTGTGAACACTGGGGACAGAATAACTGGGCAAAAATGGTGAAATCTGACAGAGGAGGTGACTTTTGAGTTAACCTTAAAGCATGACTATATTAACTTTAAACTGCAACTAAATAGAACAGGGCATTAAAAACATAGAGAAAAGCATATGCAAAGATCCAAGGTCATGGAGGACCTGAAGCATTTGAGAAATAATATGAAGTATGATTATACTTTTTCATCAGAAAACATTTTCATTTTTTCATTAGAAAATGTGCTTAAATTATATGAAAAATAAATACTGCAACCTAGCCCACATAATCCTTTGGATTTATTTGTTAATCATTATTATTAAAATATATTAAAAATAATATATTAAAATATAATTATAAATAAAATAATATAATAGTTAACCAACATTTACAAACATACTTACTTATAATAGTGTTCCCAGAGATTTCTGTATCTTCCTTGACCTGACATGTCAAACACTGTAAAAGACAAACTACAGAAAACAAAGCAAAACAAAACCAAACACCAAAACAAAACAAACCATGACTACATTATAAGATACTAACTTAAGGTGTCACTTTTATTTAAAAATTTAAATTGTTTTCAAAGAAACCACCCTTGAATATACAATATTCAACTTGAGCCAATTTTCAAGTACAAGTCCCATAAAATAAATTTTTTAATATAAATATGATTTTGTAATGAATAACATATAAAAAAAGATGCTTTCCTTCCAGTGAGATTATCAGAATTTGTCTAAAGTCTAAATTCTGAAAAACAATCCAGAGGTATTGGTACAAATAGTTTACCATCTATGGACTTCTGAAACAACAAATTTATTTTTCTAAGAGTAGAAGGAATGACTAGGTAGATCTGATATTAACACTTTTCACCCACAACTTCTTAGTCACAAGTATAATAAAATGAATTACCTGGATGATTTGAATTTTTCTATGCTGAATCCTATGGTTGGAACTATATCTTGTGATTGAGCCTGCAAGAGAAAAGACAAATTGAGAAATCTGCAATTACCAAAGATGAATTTTTCCTCAGGTTAAAAAAAAGCATCCACATTTCCAATTCTAAAATTTGTCACTAAGGAGATGACAGAATTAAACAAAATTGTAATTTTTGCAGTGGGATCACTGTGTGTGAATTCTTTACAGAAGTTTAAGGCTTACTAATTATGAATCTGTATAATGTGTATATCTTAATTCACATTTTGTGGCTTGCTGCAAGTTACCATAGCTGTAAAGTGGTTTGATGAGTCATTCTGAGTTCACATAAAGGACTTTATAATCTTTCACCACATACTTACTGAGTTTATATATGCTACTGGGGACTGTTCTCATGTCTAGATGGTGAATATATATGGTCGCTGCTTTCATGGAGCTTACTACCTAGAGAAAGTAAACAGCAATAACCAAGTAAACTACAAGTGAACACAATTTCAGGCAGTGAGAAGTGCAGTGAAAGGTGATTTGAAGGTGGGAGGCAATGGGGGAGAGGGTTGGTATGGGGCATGGAAAAAGGATGCTGAGAAAAAGCCTCTCTGAGGAGGTAATATCGGACCCAAGAGTGAATATCAAAAAGGAGAAAAGCTATGACTAGATCTTGGCAAAAACATTCCAGTCAAAAGAATTAGCCAGTGCAATGACCCCAACGCAAGCAGGGCCTTGCCACTCAGGAAAAGTATATGTATGTCTAAAATGTACTGAGTAAGGCAGAGAGCTATATGTAACAAAGAGCTGTAGAGCCTTGAAGGCCATGGTAGGGAATTCTGTGTGAATAGATTACAAGGGGGCAAGAGTACAGCAGGAGACCTGTTAGCAAGTCCCACAGGCCATTAAAATGCCCTAAGCTGACAAGTCATCAAATGCCTCCTAACACTTTCACCATCAAAACCATTCTTCCGTTTGAATAAAAAACACCATCTACTTTCTGATAACCTATGAGTTATTCTTGACTCCTCGTTTTCTTACATTTTTTATATAACCATTCTCAAACTGGTCCTATCTCACTAACTTAGTTCAGGCCCTTATCATTTCTTGCTTTGATGTAGTACAAAAGCCTTCTAATTACTCCTAACTGTTAATGTGCTATCTTAGACTAGTTACTCAACTTCTCCAAACCTTAGTTTTCTCAAATGTGAAATCTATTATTATCTTTAACTTGTAAAGTTATCATGAGAATTAAATGAGTTAATGAATGCAAAATACTCAACACAGTGCCTGGTCCATAGGAAATACTCAGCAACTACTCAACAAATATCATAAGTATACTCTCTTTTTTTTTTTTTTAGTGTTAAATGTTTTAAATTTTATGAATTTTAAACACTTATATAAAATTCAAGTATTCACTCTGGCATTTCTGTTTTAGCATCAATATACAGAAGAAATATCTCAGTGCTGTCATTTGCTTTGGTTTTGCACCTATTAATATTGAGAATGTGATTTGGTCTCTTTGTAATCAATTTCTTATTGATTTCCATTCTTCTAACAGCCACTTAACTGACCACGATTCTGGTCTCTCTTATCTTTTTCTTTTTTTTTTTTAAATTTTATTATGTTATGTTAATCACCATACATTACATCGTTAGTTTTTGATGTAATGTTCCATGAGTCATTGTTTGCATATAACACCCAGTGCTCCATAGTGCCCTCTTCAATACCCATCACCCAGGCTAACCCATCCCCCCACCCCCCTCCCCTCTAGAACCCTCAGTTTGTTTCTCAGAGTCCAGTCTCTCATGGTTCATCTCCCCCGCCGATTTCCCCCCTCCTTCATTTTTCCCTTTCTGCTATCTTTTTTTTTTTGACATATAATGTATTATTTGTTTCAGAGGTACTATACTTTCATTGATTTCAGTCTCTTTCCAATTATCTCCATATAGCCACAGTGTAACTTAAAAAAACAAAACAAAAACAAAAAACTTTTAGTTCATCATGTTGCTTTTGTGTGAAAACAGGGGTAGAAGGTAAATTGTTGCCCCATACCATTATGTTCAATTTGGTAGTCCACTTCTGGAAATTTAAAATTCAAATGAAAAGACAGAAGCTGAAAAGTCACTGGAGCTTAGTCACCATAGTAGTAATGTAGTAGTGAAAAGGCCTCCTTAGAGATGCCTGGTTTTGCCTTTCTAAAGTTTGTTTATTCAGCTTTTCTTTCCATCCTATTAAGCTGCCTATACTCTTCCAAAAATATCTTTCTGTTTATGTTAGAATTTATTTCCTGCCATTCAGATTCCTGCCTCAGTCCTTAGGGTTTTTTCATTGCACAACAAACTTTGGAATAAAGAGTTTCCTAACTTTTGTTGTCCCAAAATATTCCACGGTTTTCATTTCTTATTTTGATCACAATCATGATAAAATCATCAGCTATTACTATTAGGAAAAAATACCAGTAATAAAAAAGTGAGGAAATTAAATGTTTAAAGAAATCTCAGAAAATATACCTCAAAATAGTAGGCCTGTCTTCACTGAACTGTAATTAGAACATTTGCCTAGCCTCTCCGCAATCACCCAGCTTCTTCACAAACTCTTTTTGTTTCCGAAGCTTCTCTTTTATATCTTGCTGTTTTACTTAAGGATAAAATTAATCAACTTTCTTTTCTTCCCATCACTTCTTTTTTTTTTAAGGAGGGAGAGAGAGAGAGTACATAGGAGTGGGAGGAGCGGCAGAGGGAGAGGGAGAGAGAATCTCAAGCAAACTCCATGCCCAGTGCAAGCACTGGGCTTGATCTCACAACCCCAAGATCATGACTGAGCCAAAATTAAGAGGCAGACACTTAACCAACTGAGCCCCCCAGGCACCCCTCTTCCCGTTACTTCTAAAGTTCTAACGGAACCTAATTAGAAAGAAGAAACTCCACAAATTAATCAGGATAAAACAAGATATGTGAGCTCGTGCTTCCACTTCAAGTGGGATTCATTTTCCTCTAAAGAATTCCAAAGATTATCTCCAACATTAATCTTCTCTGCTCTATCTAGGAACAAATACATTTGGTCATTCTCTGAATTGGTCAGGGAATGGTACAAACCAAGCAAAGAGTGTAGGAATTATTACCTAAGTGGAATAGCCTATCTGAGATAGCCCAAGGATAGACTAACATCAACAAGAACAGAACAGGTTTTCTAAGAGAAGATCCTATTTGGTTAGTTTCATTAAGTCTGCTAAAAATTAAATCCTTGGTGCCATCAATCATCATTCCCTGCCCAAAAATGAAAATTAAAAAATTCCCCATCAGTCCATCCCAAAATATACTTATACACCAGGCAATATTATAGGTATTTAGGATTTAGGGTTGAACAATATCAGATCTATGCTCTTAAGGAATTTAAATTTATAATGAGGAAAAATTTAATAAATAAGCTACCAATTAAATATGCCAAGATAATTTCAGATTGTTTTAAATAACATAAATCTGGATGATGTGGTAGTATGATAGGATTTCCATTGGCAAAGGGGGGGTAATGGAAATTGGGGAAAGAAAGGTACTTATAGGGTGCATCTCTAAGAAAATACACTTAAGACCAGATTCTTGAGTGATCAGGTTAAAATGCCTCCCCACCATTATGCATCAGTTTAAAAAACACCAGCATCCTCACTACATTGACAATAAATACGCATTAGGATAGCTTAAAGCCAGTTTGGGTCCAGAAGTATCTAGTTATCTAGAAACTGATTTTATCCACAAAAAATAAGAGACATAACTATAAAATGAGATTTGCAAATTTTTTGCATTGTAGATTTCTATAATTCACTTAATTCATTAAAAATAATGTTTCTAATGTGGATGTAAGCTCACAAAAGATTTCTTTGGTTCAGATACATGTAGGAAACAAGTGTTTTATCTATACCTGTGTGACAGAGGTTTTGAGGTCTTTAAGAAATTCTATTTCAAGTGGTCTTTTGGCTATAAGCACCAAATTAAAAAAAAAAAAAAGCAAAGCAACTTACTGTGTTCTCAGGATCTAGAGATCAATTGTTCTGTGGAGACAGGATAGTTGCCTAAAGATTAAATCTCAGGAAGTGGTGTCAGAAAGTAGGTGATCCCCTTAAAATAGCCCTATAGCAAGTCTAGGCTAGTTCCATAATTCACCAGAGATAACAGAGACAGAGATGTTGGAAAGCACTGGAAGGTTAATTAAAAAACCTTAGTTATTGGCTGTGTACCCAGGTTTTCCTGGGGGCTTTCCCTGACTAATGTGTTAAACAGGGTTAATATGTCACAAGACCAGTCTGAAATGGGGGTTATAGGGTATTTTAAGATCACAGATGGAGCACATGATGTCTCCTCTTTCTGCCCCAAATCCCTAGAACTGACAGAAGAAATTATGAAAAAAAAAATCCCTAAGTAGGTTAAAAAATAAAAATACATCCTTGTTCAGGGAAGAAAGCTGTTCCCATTTATATCAAAGATTATTCCTATGGTAATAACCATGTCTTAGAAGATCACTATACTGTTGGGAATGATGGAAGGAGACTGTAAATTCTTTTTTGTTTTTTGAATGTTATTTCTGCCAATTTGAGTACAGAAGACATTGGTGGACTGGTCCATTTTGTGGCTATATATATTTTTTTAAGAGAAGGAGAGGTAAGGGAGGGGCAGAGGGAGAGGGAGAGGGAGAGAGGGAATCCCAAGCAGGCTCCACACTCAGCACGGAGCCTGATGTGGAGCTCAATTCCAGGACCCTGAGATCATGACCTGAGCCGAAATCAAGAGTTGGATGCTTAACTGACTAAGCCACCAAGGCGCCCCCATTTTGTGGCTATTAATGGTGGCTCTGGTTTCAGTTATTTTGTACTTATTTGAGACTAGCTTTTTTAAAGATTTTATTTACTTATTTGAGAGAGGGAGAAAAAGAGAGAGAGAGAGGAGGGGCAGAGGGAGAGGGAGAGAATCTGGAGCAGACTCCATGCTGAGCTCAGAGCCTGACACTGGGATCAATCCCATGACCCCGAAATCATAACCTGAGCTAAAATCAAGCATCAAGACACTTAACCCACAGCCACCTAGGTGTCCCAAGACTAGTTTTACAAAAAAAGAAAATTTTTACCTTTGAGGCAATTCCTTGAGGTGGAGAAAAATGTAAACACCTCTGACAGAATAGGCCCTTACCTAAAAAAACTTCCTTATAATCTTCCTTACTGCTGATAGCTTTACCTACAGAAGTGTAGGTCACCAGTCACTGAGTTTCTTAAGCATTAGCCCAGCCTATCTGCTGATAGCTGATCCACAGTACTCATTATGGGCCAAGGCACAATTAGGTATGGCTCTACTTTTAACATATACTCACACTCTAAGATCAATTCTGGACCCCATCCAACTGGGTAGGATGCTTTATCTCCCTCTTAAGGACTGATAAAGAAATTTCTTATAATCACCTAGGTCAGGAGATAGACTCTAATGTATGTGGGCTTTTTTTAACCTTTTTTCTCTATCTTCACATATAGAGAAAACTTCATTAAATGATACTCCATATTTCTCTATCTCACCTTCTCCAATTTATTCCTCTCTATGGCTAAAGAATTACTCCTTTGACTGCTCAGTTTGTGAAACAGAACTGAGCATTCTTGGTTCTGCCTCTCTCTACTCTCTCTCTCATTTGAGTGCCACATGCCTATCACAAGAATGCACTCTCATCTGATCTTAGCCATGCAATGAAGCTAGAAGAGTAGGATCTTTCCCAGAGGAGGAAACCCCGAAATTTTGGGAGGCCAATCTCAATACAATAGAGTGTTAGCAACTCCTCTGAACAGACCTAACCTTGCCCTCCAAAATTAAATAAAGCTGATATTTTTTATCTTTGCCTGACTTCAGAATGTATACCTCAGCTGGGGAACTCCTTAAAACACCTAAACTGCCTTCCAAATCCATCTTCAGTTTTTTATCCTGGCCGCCTCACACTAACTCCCACCTGAAAATACACCAGCAGTTAGTTGTTCTTATGTGGTAAACTCATCTATGTAGAACGGAATAATGACCAGAAAAAAAGAAATAATGTGGTTTTTTTTTTTTTTTTTTGTATTCCAAAGTAATCTCAAACTAAACAGAAGTAAAACTGAAGCTGCTACAAAAGAAAACAGAGTAGTAAGGCTGCTTATTCAGCCCAACCTGAAACATTGGAGGCAACTACCATATTTAGGAGCAATATTTCCCATTCTCTAGCCATTTAGTCATTAAGAGTAACAGCTTCTTAGTTTTTGCCCTATCTTTATGCAGTCTATATTATTCTTTCACTCTACAGTTTTCATTAATTCACTAATGGCTTTTACCTAAATAAGTGTATTTACAACTGTAAACGTTAGTTGTCTATCCAATATCCATTTTCCTCTTCTTCCATACTTACAGGACTCCCATTATTTTTGGTAGCAGCAGTATGCCCTACCAAAAAAAAAAAAAAAAAAAAAAATCCAGCTTCATTTACAGATAGGGGTAGCCAATGAGATATAAGAAAGGAATCATTATTTGATGCTTCTGGGTAAGTTCTTTAAAGAGAGCTTATTTAGCAAGAGGGCCTATTCTTTTGCCTTGTTCTTTTCTCCTCTCTGTGACTTAGAATACAGTTAACCAAGGTGACCATGTGGAGATCTTGAAGATGAAAACCAGGCACTCAGAATAGCAGAACAGGAAGATGGAAGATGCCTGGATGTCTCATGACTGACCACATAGCTGCACCACCAGCCCTGGAATACCTCCTCTGGACTTATTTAGATGACAGAAAAAGAAGGTTCTATCTTATTTAGTCCACTGTTATGTGGATTTTCTTTATATATTGCAAAACCTAACTTTTATGTACCATGTGTTAAATGTGCTAGCTTTATATTTTTCAGTTATTAAAATTATATGTTCATATACTTATTACTTAAAAGACTTACTACTACTGATATGCATACCACACTCCTGTCTTAATTATCCATTGAACCCATAAAAATGATTCAACATTCCCTTTGTTTCTCTTGTAACGAGGGAGCCAAAAAGAAGGCAATGATACCTAAAAGTAAACTTGGCAAATCTGTGAGGATCTTTTAAGAAAAAAAGACATTTGGAAAATATTCCTGCTTAAATAATCAAGACTCACCTATACATCTACATAAAATACACTACAAATTATGCCTGACTGACATTTATTACTTTAAGATACTACAAGGTTAAAGGATTTCATAACATGATTATATGAAGAAATGATGGCAAACAAAATAATTTTGCATGTTAACTTCCTCCAGTAGAAAATACATAAAGCATCTAACAAAGATACTTACATTTGAAGGTTTAAGTTTGTTAATGATTGTTGTTTTGCCACTATTATCCAGACCAAGGCACAAAACATGAACCTCCTTCTTCTTTAGGCCAAGCAAGCCTGAAAGTCTGTCTAGCAATCCCATAATGTGATTCAAATATTTACAAACCAGCTGCAAGTTAGAAAGTAAAAAAGATATATCATTCATTACAGGCAACTTAGGTATGGAAAATATGAGCATGTGCATCAAAAAAATTAATAAAGACACAATCATAAAAACCATGTCAATGTAGCTTTGTATTTAAGAAACAAAGTTTAAGCTGATTAGCACAGAGGAGCCTTATCTGAAAGGCAGATTGGCAGCTTATAACCCTAGGCAACACAAAGAACAATGCCCTTGAAATAGCTGTATATTTCTTCTGGTAAATTATAATATTTAAGAAGAAAATGTGGTTAAACTCAGTATTGTGTAGAGTCTGCCACTTGTGATCTTGAAAATATCTGCAGCCTTTCTAGAAATCTGGAACTATGTATGGGCAAAGGAGTTCACGTAGAGCCTAATGCTGAAGCTCAGAAAGTAGAAGGCAGGTCAGAAATGAGAAAAACTGAGATTTTGGCTACACTATTTGAGCCACTGGCTAAATCTTTTTCTGAAGCCAGCCCCATTGTTGTATTATCCAATAATCTGAAGTAATAACTATTAAATTCACTGTTTTTGTCTGTTTGCTTGATTATATCCAGTTTAGGTTACATTTTCTATCAAGAGGAACAAAGAATACTAACAGATATATTTATTTTATTATATAATATATTGCTACACATATTGCTTGCGCATAACCTGCTATGAACTTTCCAAATGAAACTTTCCAAAGGTACTCCCCTTGGGTCCATCACTCCCTAAAACGTTATCATGGGAGAAGAGAGATATCCCTGTTGCCAGCCCTCAACTGCTGCAGGGACTGCTATAGGAGTAACTACAATCTGCCTAAGTCCCAAATATTTCCTATTACTCTCCTAACCATCTTTTTCAAAGTTCTCTAAATATTCATCTCATTTAATTGATTTATTCTCATCTCCATCTAAAGTTCCAGGAGCCTGTCATCTCCCAACTCCTCGAGTATTTTTTATCCCACACTATCCTAGGCAAGGCCATACCTTGAAGAATGTCAAGCTGCAGCAACTTAAATGATGAGGTTTCCAAGACAACTGCATCAAAAGGAGGCTGCATCATCGATTTTGCTTAGGCCCCTTGGGGGATCATACTGACAGAAATTTCAAAACCAGATTTCAATGATGTGCAGAAAGGAGCAAGCACAGTGCCCCACCAGAGCATGGGGCCTATAAGAGAGCCACAGTTGTCTTATCCAAGGATTGGGTTTGATTTCTGGTACTCCATTTGTGCCACTTTTCTCCTTGCGTTGGAGACTCAAATCTCACTCAATCCATTCCTTTAAATCTCAGCTTAAGGAACATTTGTACAATCCACTTTAAGTTAGCCTTCTGATATCATGAAACAATTCACACAGACCATTTTAGTTCAAAGTAGATTTGCTATTCTCACTTTCTTATTTATTGTACTAAACATATTGATAAAAAGACAGTATCTTACCCCTGAAGCAAAATACATTGTATGTTAATTAAAAAGAAGACAGTATCTTGTTTTCCATTTTCCATACAATGAACAGATTTTAAAAAAATATGACGACTTCTCACCTCATCATCCCCTGGGCATCCACTATAAAGCATCGATTGTCCCAAAACTTGATACGCGAATATTCATTTTCCCAAGAATCATGGATTGTGATTTTCCAACCCTTTTTCATGGATTATTAAAACTAATGCTTGTTAATGAAATATTTTGGAACATACAATGTAGAAGTCAGTTGTTCTAAAAGATGTGATTATAGCCTTTTACATGCATGTTTCTATTTCTTAGCAATCATACATTTCTGTAAGTTTACTTTTTCCATGTATGAAAGAACGAAAGATAACAATTTAAGCCACTCATCATTTATTTACCATGCCCTATGTGCACACTGGGAGATAAAGTTTTCTGTAGCTCCCTATGCCTAAAGCCATGATTCTCAACTTTGGCTGCACACTGGAATTAACTACTAAATTAGTATTTCTGGTGATGGGATTAGGGGATCAGTATTTTAAAAAGCTACTCAGTGTTTCTGATGTACAGTTCCTATTGAGAACTTCTGGCTTTCAGAATAAAGTCCAAACGTTCACGCGTAGCTAATTTTAAGATCCAATCTGGCTCTGATCTACATCTCCAGTTTCTTATCTTACTGTCTTACTGCGCACCAGCCAATCAAACTCTCTTGATTGTTATCTGAGAAACTGCTTTCTAAAGGATTACTTGTTGCCAGAAAAGTCTTGAGGAATTAGGATATTATACACAGCAAACAGCTTGGAAGGTAGTAAGCCGCAGATAGTGGTGGGGCAGAGAAAAACACCATGAATGGTACTTTGTAAACGTAAAAAAAAAAAAAAAAAAATGTTCCTAGAGTGAATTACAGCCCACTTTTAGTACTTCAAACATTTTTATTCGGCTTTCAGTTTCTGAGGATGAAATTTCAATTACATTTCCCACACACCAAATAAAAACACAAAACTGGGCGATGATAAAACCAACCGAACAAACTCGCCCAAACCATGAGTCTTCTGGGACCCCTAGTACTCACCGCATAAATCCTCTCCTTTTCCACCTCTTACACTTTAGAAACAACGGTACGGAGTAAAAACCATAAGAAAGAGTAAAGAGCAGTTCTAAAACGCGACGGGAGTGGTGGTGGCGGCGGCGGCGCTGGCTACAAACATTGGGGGGGGGCGGAGATACCTGGTCTTTGAAGTTAGTCCTGCGGGCCGAGGGGCTGAAGAGGAACGGGAATGAACCACTCCCTCGCTCGTATACGTCTCTGGAATAAATATCGGGCGTCTCTCAGCCTTAGTCTCTATGCCTCCATTGTAGGAATCCCTGCTCCTGAGCAAAGCCGCTTGTACAAGTTGGGTTAACCGGTGGTTGCCTTTGCCTCAGCCGGAGCCATCAGTGGCTGGGCAGGCGCCTAGGCGCGTGGCGTTCCCTTGGCAACCGGACGTTCTTCCGGTCCCGAAGCCACGCCTCCTTGGAGGTCTTAGGAAGTAGCCTTGGAGCTCTTGTTTATGGGATTGAAGAGCTCCCGAGAATGCCAGAGGCACACCGAGGAGTATTAAAGGTGTGAAGACAGCTGGCGGGGTGAACGGCCGCCTTCGGGCGAGGAGCAGTGTTGTCCCGGATGGAGCATGATGGGAGTTGTAGGCGTGCGCACGGCCTGGTGGGAAATGCTTGGCGTAGCGTTTGCGCGTGCGCTTCTTTTCGCCTGGGTCTCTCCCAGCCTCTCGGGAGAGTATCAGCGTTTCCCGCACGCCGGGACGGGCGCTCCGTGTGGCTCCCAGAGGGACGTGGAACCTGTGCGTCTTTACCGGGCATGCGCGCAGCGTGGTGGCAACGACCGAAGAACACAGCTGTACCCTCTCTGGCAAGGCATGCGCCAGAGTTCCTGGGCTGCCCCTGCCACGGAGGCTTTCCGGGCTCTTATAGGCCTCAAACTGGAGTCCTGAAGTAAAGCTGTTAATGTAGGTAGGGAGTGGAGATAAAACTGGCGTGAAAAGTCGGAAGCGTGACTCGGCAGAAGTATGCCTGTACTCTGGCTTCTTAGCTGTCTGATCTCTTGAAGAGATTTCTGCTAGCCATAATCTGTGATTAGATTATTGTCCCCAGAATCAAATCGGTAGGTGGTCAGGAAAGGAATAGTCTGAATGCTTAACGTTAACCACCTTTTTAAAAAAAAAATTGCACTGGGATTTTATAGCAACAGTGGTAACTCCAGTTGAAAACATTTAGATACACTCATTTCTCCACATTTTTATAACCACGCTTTCCAAAGGACAAGACTACAGTTGGAGTAATTTTACAGATGTTTCAACCTACCTAGCCTCACCCCTCCCATCCCACTCCCCACACCATGGGGGGGTTCATAGATGAAACCCTTACTCTTAAGTTTTCGTCTATAGTTTACTTTTTGGCCATGAGTATGGAACACCCAACCCCCTCCCCCCCCCCACACACATACATTAGCTAGGGTTATGTTAACCACCCTTCCTGATCTTTGGCCTATTAATTTTACCTATTAAGCGAACTAGGAGGGTGAAAAAAGAGACTAGAAGAATTATATAAAATTAACGATGGGGGTGTTTATGTGGATGATTATAGGGTGCTATTTTTGTTGTTAGGTTTCCAAATTTGCAAATGTTGTTTTACAATGAAAAAGAGTTAAGAGTAAACTTAACTCTTGAAAGGTTAAAACTAATAACAAAAACTCAATAGTTACATATTCCAAAATATTTACAGATGTCCTTGAAAAAAAAAGTGATATTCCTTGGAGCTCTTGTTTATGGGATTGAAGAGCTCCCGAGAATGCCAGAGGCACACCGAGGAGTATTAAAGGTGTGAAGACAGCTGGCGGGGTGAACGGCCGCCTTCGGGCGAGGAGCAGTGTTGTCCCGGATGGAGCATGATGGGAGTTGTAGGCGTGCGCACGGCCTGGTGGGAAATGCTTGGCGTAGCGTTTGCGCGTGCGCTTCTTTTCGCCTGGGTCTCTCCCAGCCTCTCGGGAGAGTATCAGCGTTTCCCGCACGCCGGGACGGGCGCTCCGTGTGGCTCCCAGAGGGACGTGGAACCTGTGCGTCTTTACCGGGCATGCGCGCAGCGTGGTGGCAACGACCGAAGAACACAGCTGTACCCTCTCTGGCAAGGCATGCGCCAGAGTTCCTGGGCTGCCCCTGCCACGGAGGCTTTCCGGGCTCTTATAGGCCTCAAACTGGAGTCCTGAAGTAAAGCTGTTAATGTAGGTAGGGAGTGGAGATAAAACTGGCGTGAAAAGTCGGAAGCGTGACTCGGCAGAAGTATGCCTGTACTCTGGCTTCTTAGCTGTCTGATCTCTTGAAGAGATTTCTGCTAGCCATAATCTGTGATTAGATTATTGTCCCCAGAATCAAATCGGTAGGTGGTCAGGAAAGGAATAGTCTGAATGCTTAACGTTAACCACCTTTTTAAAAAAAAAATTGCACTGGGATTTTATAGCAACAGTGGTAACTCCAGTTGAAAACATTTAGATACACTCATTTCTCCACATTTTTATAACCACGCTTTCCAAAGGACAAGACTACAGTTGGAGTAATTTTACAGATGTTTCAACCTACCTAGCCTCACCCCTCCCATCCCACTCCCCACACCATGGGGGGGTTCATAGATGAAACCCTTACTCTTAAGTTTTCGTCTATAGTTTACTTTTTGGCCATGAGTATGGAACACCCAACCCCCTCCCCCCCCCCACACACATACATTAGCTAGGGTTATGTTAACCACCCTTCCTGATCTTTGGCCTATTAATTTTACCTATTAAGCGAACTAGGAGGGTGAAAAAAGAGACTAGAAGAATTATATAAAATTAACGATGGGGGTGTTTATGTGGATGATTATAGGGTGCTATTTTTGTTGTTAGGTTTCCAAATTTGCAAATGTTGTTTTACAATGAAAAAGAGTTAAGAGTAAACTTAACTCTTGAAAGGTTAAAACTAATAACAAAAACTCAATAGTTACATATTCCAAAATATTTACAGATGTCCTTGAAAAAAAAAGTGATATTCTTCCTAACTGTGTGGCCTTAGGCCAATTAACCCTTCTCCATGCTTTAGCTTCCTCACTTTCAAAAAATACCTATTTATCTCATCTGGTAGTTTTGAGGATTGAATAGATTTAAAAAGAATATTTTTTGGCACATAGTAGGTGTTCAGTTAGTAAGTTCCTGTCTTCGTTTGTCCTGAAATTTTTAGTATCTGGGTAGGATTTGACCCAATTCCTAAATATTCTGGTTTGTTAACTTCTGACTGTAAATGCATTTACAGGGAGGTATTGATTCCTTTTCTTTGTGTCTGGGCATTTGTGATTCATTTTGATGAGACATGGAAGCTAATTTCCTTATAGCCTGAATATGACTTTTTTTTCTTAGAGTTAAGCAGAAATCTTATGTTTCAGAAAACAGTGCACAGATTTATTTTTTCCTGTTTGGAGTTGGTATTTTCTCCCCTTAGGTTGAGTTCTATTTTTGCTTAGCAGAAAACATTTGGTGAAAACTGGAAATATGACAGGGAGATTGGAT